GGTAGATAAATGGATGGATGGATGGATACATGCATGAATGATTGGATGTTGGATGGATGGATGGATGGATGGATGGATGGATGGATGGATGGATGACTAGGTAGTTAAGTGAATGGAGGGATAGAGGGATATATGCATGGTTGGATGTTGAATGGATGGATGGATGAGTGATTGACTAGGTAGATAAGTGAATGAGGGATGGACGCACACATGGTTGGATGTTGGATGGATGGAGAGTTGGACGAATAGACAGATGAACGGAAGGATGGATGGATGGATGGATGGATGGATGGATGGATTGATGGATGAGTGGAAGGATGGATAAATGGATGGAGGAATGAAAGAATAAATAGTGGAAGGTTGGGTAGGGTAATTAATTCCCTCATTGCAGTCCAGATTCAAAGACAGGTTCTGCTCCAAACTCACTCTGCTAAGTCCTCTCCCTCTCTGGTCTTCAGTTTTCCCATCTGTCGATGAGGTTGTGGAATGAGATCACCTCCAAGTTCCTTCCAGAGTTCCTGGATGATGCAGATAGCTCAGATGCTGATTGAAAGATTGCAAGCTCCTGCCCACCCAGAGGTACCTCAAAAGAACAGCCTGGAAATCTACTTCTAAAAAATGCTGTTGAAACACCAAGAAGCACAGTCCCACTCTGACACCCATGGGGTTACCACCAGTGGGAACTGACTTGACAGCAACGGGTTTACCTGTTAATCTCCTTCCAGCCCTCTTGCCCTTGAGGGAGCAGAGCCCAGGCGAAGAATCCCAAGATCCTCAGCAAACAGAAAATGCCACCCGTGTGGTCTCACTGCGACTGAATTCAAGGGAGTAGGGAGGGTGAGAGGGGATGGGCTTCTGAGCCTCCTTAAACACATTCAGAATGGAGCTTGTAGGTTCAGAGTGGGGGCTGTGAGACCACACAGTGTGGGTTGACCTTTGTCCTTTCTGGTGTATGACCTTGGAGTAAAGGGCTTCATCTCTCTGGACTTAAATGACGTGATGTACAAGCACTTGGCCTGCAGTGAGGACACCATAAAAAGTAGTGGTAGTTGTTTTGGGACCTCCCAGACCCCTATGTGGGACTATCATACATTGTCTCATTACCTTCTGCCTGCTATTCATGTGGGGACAGAGCTGCTTTTAGGATAGAAGGGCTAGAAAGAGCTTCAAGGAAACTCCTTTAGGGAAAGATAACATGCTTGGAAATACATTTTTTTTTTACCTTCCCATCTTTGTCTTTTCTCCTATCTGGAATCCAGATGCAATGGCTGGAGACCAGGCAGCCACTTTGTTCCATGAGGATAACTTGATAATGGAAGCAGAAAATTGAGAGGAGTCTGGATTCTTAGTGGTCATGATGCCTTGGGACAACCCTATATTGCCAACTTCAAGCTTCTTTCTCCTAAGAGATAAGTAACCTTTACTCTATGTGAACAATGGTTTCTATGTACAGTTTCATTGTTATTTAGGTTTCCTGTTTTATGTGACAAACCTAACCTCAGCTGCCCCCTTTTTGCAGACTTAGAGAGTGTAGGTGGTGCCAAATAGCAAGGGATAAATTCTTACTCAACATTAGGTCTCTGCAGTTCTCGTCCTGCGGATCCTCCCAAGTCCTTTGCCATCCACAGTGAGAGGCTTCCTCACTCCCCGGTTATCTGCACACAAGCTGTTCAACATATCCAGGCTGCAGAGGCAGGGAAGGGCAGACACAATCACAGAGGCCTTCACCAAGCCTTCCATCTGAGCTGAGGCATAGAGGATAAGGTAGTAACATTAATGGCGCCATTTCATCATCCCTTCAAATACCACCACATCCACTGGGCGCAGCCAGAGGGTCAGGGTATGTGTCAGGACGACAGCCTCAGGACCACCTCCCCTTCTAATGATTTGCTAAGAGAACTCACGGGGTTAGACACAATCATATTGAACGCTAGGGTTTCTAGAAGACACAAACCAGAGCTCAGTATCACACAACTGAGCCTGTCCTGAAGTCTACGTGCTGTGATTGGGTATATAGGTGCTGGGTATACAGTTTGGTGTAAATGTGTCTCAGAGTACTGTAAGCTTCCCAGCAGCCTGGGGGGAAAGGGAAATGGAGCATAATACCTGACTCATCAGGAAAAATGGATATTTCTTTGAGGGAAAGCAAAGTCTTTCCTAGAATGAAAGGGAGTTTGTGGGATAGGAGAGATGGGGTCTGGCCTGGACTGGTCAAATGGAGTAATAACCCTTTAGAGTGTGTACTGAGTGAATGCTCTGAAGTCCAGCGGTCATATGTATGTCTATGTGGAAGGTGTGCTGTGTGTGTGTGTGTGTGTGTGTGTGTGTGTGTGTGTGTGTGTGTCTACCTCCCTTGCTCACGCTCAAAATGCAAAGAGTCCCCGACCACTCGAAACTGCTGGTTTTAGGAAGTGTTGCTGCATGGAGCCTGCGTAGAAGGCCCGGGGCCAGGACTTCCTCCCCACACGGGCCGGGGCGGGGCAGGAGGGAAGGGGCCTGCTGCAGCCGAGGTGACACATCCCTGCCAGGACAGCCGAGCAGCAGCTGGGTCAGCTGACAAGCAAAGGGTGAGCAGTCCACGGCTCCCCAGGGACTTCGGGATGGACCTGTGTCCCCCAGGTAAGCGCCCAGAAGGGCAGGGAGATGGGTGTGTGCGTCAGGGCGCAGGTGGGAAAGAGCCGTCCCCTGTTCTGACTGTGTAGCTGGGTGAGGGTAACTAGAAGAACCCCAGCGACGCCCAGATGCATTGAGGACGCTGGTGCCGGTGTCCCTGCAGAGGAGACTTCTACCAGAGAGAGAACCAGGCCCAGAGAAGGCTAATGAGCTCCCGAAGCCTCTCAGCACCGAGGAGGAAGAGTGCGATTTAGAACCCAGAGCCCAGCTCGTGTCTTCCCAGGCACAGCTGTGAGTTCTCTGCTGGAGGCAGACAGGAAACAGTCTGTGACATGAGCAAGAGCCAGCTGGCCCCCTCACCCGGGCGGGCACCCCCTTCAGTGTGGTCATGTGCCCTGTGCAAGCAGGGACCTCAGTTCTGAGCTCGGAGGACCCAGAAGCCCTGACAGGGAAGGGCTGGCTCTGGAGGGAGAAAGGGAAGGAGGCGTTCCCCTCCATTCACAGCTCTGGATGGGGGAGTACCCCAAGATTGGTAGCCTTTCCCTCCCACATCTTTGTCTCCTTCTGCTGCGCCTCAAGCCCAGGGCCCTGGGGTCCCCATACCTGCTCCCCAACCTTGTAAGGAGCATCTGTCAATCAGCTTCCAGCCCCCTCCCCACTATCTGCTCAGAGCCCAGGTGGGGGTGCTCGGAGTGCAGGGGTGCCGCAGTAGGCAGGGACCCTCTGGGCATGCTGGGGGCCAGGTCACAGCGGACACCCGAGACAGGGCAGGTACCAGGCCGGGAATGAGTAGCACTGGGCAGGACCACCTGGTGGGTGGCACTGCCAGGTCGTTCTGGTCCCGAAAGGTCTGTCAGTGTTCCAGCTTCACACTCAGTTCACGGCCCCTGTGGAGGGACTGCCCTCTCGTTTAGCAGACAGGGAAACTGAGGCTCAGCAGGGAGAGTGATTTTCCCACTGCTACGTGGGAAGAAGGTTCTGGGTGCACCGACTCCCCAGTGGGCCCTTCACTCTGCAGGTGGCTCCCACCTGGGAGGGGTGTTCCTTGTCTTGGGGTGAGCAGGGACACCTGTGAGCTCGAGACCCTCACGGTACCCTGAGTTCCCAGGCCTGGCTGCAATTCCCCTTCTCCAATCTTACTATGTATTCTGGGAAAGATACACAGCCTCTCTGGGCCTCAGTTTCCTCTTCTGTAAAATGGAAAGGGCCTGCCTCATAGACCCTGTGGTGACTGTCACTGGGTACCACTGAGCTGGAAATGACCCACACCTGACCCTCCAGTGGGTTTTCAGAGCCTGTAAATTGCACAGGAGGAGATTGCCTTTCTCCTGGGGAGCAGCAGGAAGATTTGAACCCTGTGCCTTTGAGATGGCAGCGGAATTCCTTACCAGTAAACCACCAGAGCTCCCTAAATATGTAAAATATTAAAACACTTGGAAAACCCAGCATCAACAGGACACCTGTCTGCTGAGCTCCGCCTAGGTGTCTGGTGTCAGGCTGTATTCAGGTAGGGGATGCGGCTCAAACAAGGCAGGTACAGGGATACAGGCACCGTCCTCTGTCCTTATGGGGACACAGAAAGCAGTCTTTCCCATGTAACCGGTGACAAGGAGACTGAAGACCAGCAAGGAAAAATGAGAAATGGGAGGGTGCAAAGGAGAAGACGTGAGTGAGGCATCAGCGAGCGAGCAGAGGCCTGAGAAACAGGAGAGTAGGGGGCGTGCAGGTTGTGGGGGGGACACCAGCAGTGGGGCAGGGAGCAGCCATGCAAAGAGCCCAGAGGCCAGGCTGAGAATGGTGACCAGTGATGCAGTTCCTAACCGCATCTCTGTGGGTAGTGTGAGCACCCTGGTGTCCTTCTGTGGCCCTGGGCAGGTGGAGATGACCTCTAGGGAAGCCGAGGACAGAGTGGAAGCCCAGGCCATCCCTGCATCCTCTGAGCCACAGAGTCTGGAGCAGAGAGGAGAGTCAGCTGTGGGGCTGGAAGAGGAGTGGACAGGGCAGGCTTGTGTCCCCAGCAAGCAGGCTGAAAGCAGGAGGGGGGCCAAGCCCCAACCCTGAGTCTTATAATGTTCTAGCATTACCTAGAATTCCAGAGCATGAGAATTAGGAGTTGCTGCCTGGGTCTTCAGGCCCAGAGGATGTCAATTCTATTTGGTTACAGAACCTGACATTCAGACAAACCCAGAACCCAGAGAGCAGCTGAGCCCCCACCCGCTGGGCCTCCCCCACCTCCTCCAAGGTGGAACCTGTGGGATCCAGGGAACTCAGTTAGGGAACCAGGGATACACTTCACGCCATAGATGGATCCCATTCATAGATTCAAAGAGGCCAAGAGGGAGACGGTGATGTGAGGGCAGAGGGCAGACTGCACCCCCATCGCCTGGCTCTGTCCAGTGCCCCCACCTACATCACTTCCCCAGGCTCCTGGGGACAGGTGGACCCCACACAAACCAGGCTCAATGGACATATGGAACTTAGAAGGCAGGAGGGACAGTGAGGGGCAGTGCCCAACCAGGGTCACCCAGCAAAGGCCTGAGAGCTGATGTGACAATGACATGGGACATGAGGACATCTTGCCAGTCTGTCCACCAAGAGTGTCTCATTCTTTTACGTCTTCACCTATCGAGGAACTTAGAAACAGGGGTGGTTGTTCCTGAGGTGCAAGTGGGGAAAATGCGGTGATCTGGAGATGGGGCCTGACCGGTCCAATGTCTGTGGACCAGTGAGTGGCAGGGCAGGGATGAGAATGCGGGGTCTTGAGGAGAGAAGAGGCCCTGGGTAGCCTCAGCTGCAGGGGAGAAGATGGAGGGGAGAGAAGGGAAGGGAGGCCAGAAGGGGAGGTCCACCAGCCTGCTCCAGGCTGACCCTAGGAAGGAAAGACAGCAGATGGAGTCAACGCAGTCAGTCAAGAGATGCAGGGTCTCCACTAGTGGGTTCATTCATTCACTTATTCATTCTGTGAAGAGTCCTCCGGTTTGCAGGGCCATGCTGGGGCGAGCAGTATCTCAGTCAGTCAGTCCTGGGCTGCTGGTCGGCACCAGTGGAGGGGGACACAGGACTCCAGCCCAGAGCAGATGTGCAGAGACCAGGGCCTTTCCACCTGAAGGGCAGACATCACAGAGGAGGGAGGCACTCCTCGCTGTCCAGCCTCTCTTCGTGGCGGGGTGTGGCAACTGCTACCTGTGGGCTCAGATCCCGCTTCTGTCAATCAGCACCTTCCTCCAGGCCCCACCTGGGGACAGACAGGGGTTTGGAATCAGCTAAACCTGACTCCCTCCTTCCCCGCCTTCTCTGACCTTCGCCAGCATGATGTCCTTTTCTGAGGACTGGAGCCTGCACAACATGTGTAAAGTGTGAGGCACGGGGTTGCACCATCCTTGCCTCCAAGGAGCGCCCTGGTCGCACTCCCTCCAGGGCAGACTTGTTTGTTCTTTTGGCGATCCGTGGGATGTTCGGTAACCTTCTCCATCCCCGACAAGATCCACTGACACAGTGACAAGGGGCTCAAGTGTATCAGAGTTGGTGAGGATGGCTCAGGTTAAGGCCAGGTTCAGATCCGTTGATCATAGGGTCACTATGAGTTATAGTCAACTCAATGGCACCAAACAACAGGCCTGAACAGGCCCCAGCTCTGAGCCAACCCGCCAGTCATCATGGTGGCTCTATCCTGTCTGTGGACCTCAGTTTTCCCACCTGGGAAGGAAGAGGGGAGACAAAGGTTCCCTTACCTTCTGTCATGGCTATGTGACGCCTCAGAAGAGGGTTAAGCCCCTCCCCCAAAGCCTGCTGGGAAAGAGTGAGGTCCAGGCAACAAAGCCCTGAAGTGACCAGAGATGCGCTTTGTGTGGGTGCAATGTGGCCGAGCCCTGGTTAAAGCTGGTGCAGAGAGACTGTGGCCATGGTTAAAAATAGAGGCAACTCTGCTCGGGGAGAGGAAGCCACACTCTGGCTGCATCTGCAAGCCTCTTGTGCTGGGCGGGGAGCAGGCACCCCCACCCCCAGCTTCTATCCCCATGCCACCCACAAGGAAGCTTTGAGGGGGTCCCTTCCCTCAGACCCCAGGACGGCACCCTCCTCCTGCCCTGGAAAGGGGAAGCAAGGCCTTCTGTCCTGGAAGCTGGGCTGCAAGCAGAAAGATTTCTAAAAATACAGTGGGGAAGAGGAAGAACGAAGGGGAAGTGGAGAGGGGCTGGGGAGCTGGTCAGGGCCGGGCACGCAGCTGGCCTGGCAGGGTGGGGGGTGGCAGCAGTCCCTGGGCGGGGCGGAGCGGGGCAGCGGTCCGAAGGGGCCTTTGTGAGGGGTGAGCAGGGCTTTGCTTCTGGTGATGGAGTTGTTGTCATTGTTTATTATTATCGTGGCACAGTGGTAAGGCGCTGGGCTGCCGACTGGAAGGTCAGCAGTTTGAACGCACTAGAAGTCTGCTCGCTTGAAGACACTCCGTGGGCCAGGCGACTCTGTCCGGGGGGGAGGGGGTGTCTGCATGAGTCGGGACTGATCTGATCGCACTGACTTTGGGTCTGATGGTACATTTGGTTGACCTGTTCGGTTGCAATTTGAATCCACTCAGGGGCCTGGAGAACTACTCTTTAGAATCAGGCCCTGGCACCCCTACGGAGGCCAGCCTGGCACACACGAGGGTCAGAACCAGCCCTGCAGAGACCGTGTGCATGTGTGGATAACGATGATGATGATGGTGGTGGTGGTGGCGACGGCAGCGGCAGTGGTGGTGGTGGTGATGGTGATGATGATGATATTATTTTTATTTAGAATTTTTCTCCATGAGCCTGAGCCAGTACCAGAAATGCCACAGCCACCAGGCTTGCAATCAGAGGTCACCTCTCAGGCTGTGTCCTTGCTCTGCTCTCTGAGCCTCCGTGTTCTCATCTCTGAAATGGGGTTACTGTTACTGTTGGTACCATTGAGCCAGGTCCTCAGAGGGGTCCAGGACACAAGAGAACAAGACACTGGCCTGTCCTGAGCTGTCCTCACAATCACTGTGCACT